AAAGGCACCGAGAGCTCCTTCTCAACATGATGCGGAACATGGTATCTTGGCTATTAGTGCATGCGCTTGGTATATGGTAGTGTATGCACTTATTAATATTGGCAATATCCCAGGTAGAGGCAGCTGATTATGATGAGCTTGCGGAAGCAGAAGCTGGCTCACCTGCCTCTTCCTGCCCAGCATCCACTGTGCCACCAAGGGCACCACCTCCAAAGCGGCCAGCGCCTCCAAGTGTACCACCTCAAACGACAGCCCCAATGCATGGAGGTCCAACAGTGCTGCCTCCACAAATGACAGGGCCTCAGATGACAGCCCCAACGCCGCTGCCTCCACAAATGATGGGACCTCCGATGGCGGCTCCGATGCCGTCGCCTCCGCCAATGATGATGCCCCAGATGACATCCCCAATGCCTGCAGCTCCAATGGTGCCTCCCCCAATGACGATGGCTGGGATGCATCCACCAATGCCTCCTCCAACACCTATGATGCCTGCAGGGAATGCGATGCCTCCATCGGTGATGGGCCCATATGTGCTTGACCCGGTCCTCCTTGCACAAATGGCATCTGGGCTTAATTTGTTTGCGCTTGTCTAAATGATGCATGTGTGCGTTTCATGTGTGGCTCTTTCATGTCTGCGTGTTTGGTCAGTGACTTGAGGTGCAACAAATGAATCAGCAGCAAGATGATCAGGTGACTTGGTTGGCTTGTATACAGGCATGTTCAAACAAGTCATGCCATTTGAAGTGATTGAGGCGTTGTACATGGAACCAACACCGCCAATGGGGATGCCAAAAGGGCCGAACATGGACGCAAACAAGGTGCCTTAATTTAGAAGTTTTTTTCAGCATGTGTGGCAGTTCATTGCACATTTGTGGCAGTTCCAGCATGTGTGAATGCAAATGAGGTGCCTCAACCGCCAATGGGGCCACAGGTGCCACAGCAACAGCAGGATCAGGGTTATCACCAACAGGGACAGCTGCATGTGACTTGGTTATATATGCGCTTCAATCTTGTGCAATGGTGATTGTTTGAAGTAAGCTGAGGTACCGCATGCAGCACCAAATATGGCAAAGTCCAAGAATTCTGATCCAACTCATGTACCCTGGCATGTGTGGCAGTTCGAGTGGCCATGCATGAAATGTACATGATTGATACATCTGATCTGAGGTGGACATGCCAGAATGGGCAAACCAGCTGGATAAGAAGAATGACCGGAAACACCCCAAAGGACATCCTGTGCTTTGGCTTAAATAACAGGCTTGATTTCACACACATGTGTTTTATACATTGCCTGGAAGCTTCAGGCACAGGGGCCCGAGCTGTCAGTGGACAATGACGCTTTCTTGATTCAAGCGCGTCAGATCCTTCAGCAGTTCCAAGAGCGGGAGAAGAATCGCAAAAAGGGTAACTTTACCGAAGTGGAGGAGGTGGTGGATCCTGCGGATGCACCAAAAAGTGAGCCACCACCAAAGCCGTCTTTGCGTGGTAGTGCTGCAGCGATGGTGAAGAAGAAACTGCAAAAGCCTCCTGATCCACGACTTGTGGTCAAGTGCAAGCCGATGCCCCAACCACCGCCTGCAATGAAGGGGAAGGCCCGCGCCGCTCCTGCTGATGCAGTGCCACCGGCAGCGCCAGATCCAGCTACCAGTGGCCTGAAGCGCAAGAATCAGCGTGAGCCCTCAGTTCCAAGGAAGATGAGCAAGAAGTGAGGGGCTGGCTGTACATGTTGCCATTTTGGCACGCAGCTGGAGCCTTGATTTCAATTTCAATACAGCTGAACTGTGGACCTCTCTGTGAGCAACAAAGGGTGAATGTCATGAGATGTCCTGAGTGTTTCTGCAACCTCTTGCACCATGCAAATTTAGTATGTGCATGTGTACAGTCATGAGTGCAGGTGTACGATCTGTTGGAGTTCTTTGCTGGATGTGGAGCGCTCACGGATGAAGCTCGATGCAGCGGCTATCGCACAGCCAGTGTGGACATCAAGTATGTTCCTGGTGGTGCTATGGATTGCAATGCTCCTGCTGGCTTTGCGTTTATTGTCACCTTGTTTTTGCAAGATGTGTTGCGTGGGTGTATTCTGACTGCGCTGGACTTAGGCTGCATGTGGCTACAATACTTCGTTCCCGCATTGATGCACCAACTCTGGCATGGTTTGGCATACTATGCTCCTCGTGGGTTGCAACATCTCGTGGCTCTATTTTCAGAACTTGGCTAGTTCCTGAGGGTGCTTCAGGGCCTGCAGTGGATGAGGGCAATTGCATGGCAGCCAGGCAGGGGGCTAAGCTTGGATGGTTGGGCCTTTGCAGGCCCTGCCTGTGGGCCTTTGCCGGCCTGGTATATTGTTGGATGGGTGGGCCATGGCAGGGCCTTCGCAGGCCCTGCCTGTGGGCCTTTGCTGGCCTGGTTTGTTGGCCTGCAGAGGCCTGTGCATTGCGCATCGTCTGTTGCAGGTGCAGCTTCCTCTTCCTGCTGATCCATGCCCTTGGAGGGGTTTGGGCTCTTGAGCAACCACGTTCCTCGCTGCTGATGCAATATGGGCTTATGCGAGATGTAGCTGCCAGGATTCAGGTCTATGATGTTGCCTTTT